ATTTTAATTGTCTATTATCCAGTAATTGGATGCAAACCACTACTAAGCTGTTGAATGTTTTTTCTATCTTTTTAAGCTAATAATTTTCATTATTTTGTTGATTTAAAAATAATTATTTTCATACTCACAAATATATAAAAGGTTTAATGTAAAATTGCTTATTATCCCACCATCAGACATACCTATACCTAGCATTACTATTATTATATATCATAGTTTCAACATAAATATGATTTCAAAGCATATCTATGTTTTTATTAATTGCTTTTCTATGTTACTCAATATTATTAGATACAATTGTATGGAGCCACATATCGTATATTATGTACCTTAAATTACTTAATCTGCTATAGATTTTCACAGTTTTACTGTTGTGAATGATATAATTCTGTATTCATTTATTATTATTTTTTGATTCATTATTAGAAATGGAAACTCCTTGTCAAGAAAAAAAATGATACTTTAAAATTTTAAATCTCTAAACCCACATAGCCAAATTGTTTGCCAGAGCAGAGGTATCAATGTAAGGGATGCCTTACAAATGCATGTTGTTTTTAAATGATGTGCTTAATGCTGTTGTTCATGGAAAGTCTTATGTTAAAGGAGAGTCAAAGCTTTGGTTTGCATGCCTCTGCTTATATATAAAATACACTATAGAAACAGAGAAGAATAAAATGAATTTTGCAAGGGTGTTACAAAATTCAAAACAAGAGTTTGAAAGTTGCTAATAAAGAATGTTGGCTGCTTAGCACTGCGCATATTAAATTCACAAGGTATAGTCTTATTTTAAAGAAAACGAAGCGGTATAAAATGACAAACTGATAATGCAAAGTGTGAGATACACTTATTTAAAAAGAAGAACATAGAACTAAAATACATCCAAATTGTACATATTTTTAATTGAAATTTTTTGAGATATTAAGAGAACAGTGTCATTAGAATTCTGTAATTTGACTATTAAAATGTTTTTGATAGGTGTCTTACACCATCAAAATATTTTATACTGTTATGAACAGAAAGTTTTATTTGTTGAAATACTTATACATATTGATAACCACCTTTCAGTTACTCAGGGTGAAATTTAAGACCTCTCTGTGACTACATATTCAGTAGAATTAAATTTTTTATTTATGTTTGGAAAATGAGTGAAAGGTTAAGCTTAACTATTTGGAAGAAAAATAACAAACCTTGTCTTAAGAACCTGGCAGTAAAGTAAACTATTGAAAATACTTCAAGGTAAGAAAAATTAGAAATAATCATAATAATGAGTGCTCATCTATTTCAAGCTTTAAGGGGAAAAAAACTAACTAAAATTGGAACTGAATGACTAGAAGACAGAGTTTGATTATCTTCACTCAACCACACTGTTTCTTAATTCGTAAGCTATGCCTAAGTAAGAAACAGTGAAGAATTAATTCTGACTTTTCAGAGGTTTGATTGGGGTTGTCAAGAAATTGACCAGAAATGCTAGTACTGTTCACTACACATGAACAGTGAGTTTCACAGCAGTTATATGCTGCAATTTGTGGAAAGACATATTTTACCTTCAGAAGAAGAAAGTATTTTTCATCTAGAATAAGCATTACATTTATTTACCATGCTTTTTTTGATGGTAATATAGAGAAAGATAGAAATAATACCACATGTACTGAAATCTACCAGAAAAAAAAAGTTAGGCATGAATGATGTACAGCTATAATATGTATAGTAAAGTCTAGTTATCATTGACTTAATAAATACCACAACTTTTGCAGCTTTGAGAATGATTCACATATTAATACCTTAAAAGTTATCTATTACTATTTTAAATAAAGGTCTGAAACACATTATTTTAGTTCCATTCATTTTATTGCTTAGATATAATATTGCTATGGTGGTAAATTAACTGTGAAAGGGAGTTGAGTTTTCAAGGCTATAATATTAAGGTACATTACCAGTGATTTTAATTTAATAATTTGCAGTACTTCAGGTGGATACCTTAGTTTACATGAGCTTAAACTGCAAAATTGCTCTTTAGCTCAACAATCAAACAATTCTCTATAAAATCAACCTAGAAAAATCTTATTAGAATCATTTAATTTTTTAAAGCAAACTTCAAATAGTTACTCTATGGTCATTCAATATTTTTGGAAAAATATAAAAGGATTAATAATTTGAACTATTAAATTCCAGTATTTGAAAAAATACCTGAGTTATTTGAAATACAGTTATTAAGAATGCATTGTGTATCATTTGTATCAATAGGAAATACTCTTGCTCTAAATAATGTTCACATTATTAATTAGAATAAGCCTTTTGATTACTTTTGATGTTGTAAATGCATTTTTTTCTAAATTTATGAAGAATAAATGACTACTACAGAGAAATGGAAATGGTATTTTTAAAATAATGTTGAAATAGCTCTTTTAAAGATACAATGACACTTGAAACTGGGAAGTTCCAAAACTAGGAAAGCCAAGATATTCATTTTCACTTTCATATCTTCCCAAGGTATCCTCTATTTAAAACAAACAAACAAAAGCATTTGTTTTTGTAGCATGATTAATTTTGGTCAACATAAATTGAAACATAACTCGATTTTTGAAGATCTTACTAATGTTCTAAATTTGAATTTATGCTCCTACTAACCAAGTTCTCTTCTGTTTTATAATTATGGAGCTTATAATTTTATATCTTATCAAGTGACTTTTTTATCTGTCCCTGAATAGAATTTATAATAGAATTTTTAATATTCATAAATAAGAATTTATGAATAGCTCTGCTAAATGTTCATTTGTTTATACACTGTTTAGTATATTTATTCAGCCAAGTACCTCTCAGGTACCAGGCTTGGTTTTAGGCACTAAGGCTTAAGTATTTTAAAAAGACAAGGTGTGCATTGACATGAAACTTGAATCCTAATTCTGGTTAGTGCACTGAAATCTCACTCTAATGCTTTCAACCTAAATAAGTCAATCTGTAACAAATTCACCTTATGCTCATGAAACAAAAAGTCCACATTCTCAGATCATTTTATTTGTAAATGAACAATTACAGACTATTACAACAAATACAAAATGGACAATTACAGACTATTACAACAAATACAAAACATACCTGTAAATTTGGAAGTCAGCAAATCATTTCACTTAACTAGAGCTGATCAGAGCTTAACAGAGCCTAGGGATATTAGAAGAGACCTAAGTAGCACTGATGGAGTGGACATCTGTATTTAAGTAACCATCCTAACTTCATTTGCTATGGAAAAAAAAAATGTGTAACAACATATAAGTATTGGTAGAAAATGTTAGGAAGCTTAATCTAGAGAATTGCTATTGTTTACAGGGACCTGCAAGGTTACACTGTAATATCTTTACAGTGTAATAAGAAATTAAAGTGTACTGTCACTATGCTACACTGAAATGTTTAATTTTTCTACTATAAATGGCCTTTTTATTGTTAAGTACAAGTTTATTTCTTTAGAATACTAATTTTAATATGTCATATTAGTACTTCTGGGCTTTTGTTTACATTTTAAGTTTGGTGGAAAACATTTACATTGAAAACCAGGATAAGTTGATGGAGGATTTTGGTTCTTTATTTTGGGGTTTGAGGGCCTTCAGCCCACTCTGTAGAGGAACAAAACTGAGTCGCTGAAAGGATGGGACCAGGCTGTGTGGTGCCTGTGGCTGACTGGGCAAATTCATCAACGTGAAGTCAAAAGAAGCATGGAGGGATGGTCTCCTTGTCTTTAAAAGAGGCAAAAATATTTGCTTCTGCACCAGACTTTTACCGTAAGGATTGAATAAGATATTGACACCATGTTGCAAAAATTATATTCAGTTTTGAAAGCTCAAACTGGTATTACTCCAGTTTTTTGCTGTTGCCTACTCATCAATATGATAATTTATGTATACATATTTAAGGAAAGAAAAACTGCTTTTTATCAAGATTTGAATTATGCACTTAAACTACTTCTTTATTTCCAATGTGCTATTTGCTTATTTTAGAGCTAGGAGCAAATGACAAGTTTCTCCTAATTACTGGTCAGTCACATTAAACAACAGACACTGTGAGCAGCTTCCTAATGACTCAAAACATAATGAACACAGTAGGGACAGAATATCTTCTAGGCTTCAGAAGTCATACATCAGATATGACAGAGGCCATTTAATGACAGTCATAAATTATAGCTGTCTAAATCAGACACACATTTAGCACTTCCTCTGTGGATGAACCCATGTCCAGATCATTCATTGAGTTCTGTGGTCTGCAGTGACAACCGTGGGAAATTAACAAGGAAGTGGAGCCCTTTCCTTTAATAATACAAAATGATAAAGGGGACATAAAAAAGTCAATTGACTAATCCATAGTGTATAACTGCTTGAAGCATTTTCCCCATGCTAATCAGTTATTAAGTTGTTTAAACTAAATACCTCCAGTTCTCCAATTACTGAACTGATTTACAAGACATGGTAAAGGATGTCAGTCTACTCGAGCCAGATTCCAGAGTGTTCATTATTGAAGAAGACAGAAAATAATTTTTAAGTGATCCTCTCTGACTATGCAGTCCAAAGACTCTTGAAAAGGAGGATGTGATAGAAGATACTCTGTTGGCTTCCAGACATTGGTGAATTAATGTGTTACTCTCAAGTTCTAAACATGTATATCTGTTTGAGAATAGGGCTTATTTGAATTCAGGAGTAACAGAGGTCAAAATAACTAAGGAAAACATCTGTACACTATATGTAGGCAGGCCTTTACATTTTGTTTTTCAATTTCAGCCATGATGAGCAGCATGTAGCAAACAAGACCCTGAATTCAAAACAACAAAAGTTCTTCTAACAACCCATGTGAAGTGACATATTATTACCTACCTGTATATTGCCAGCAACTCTAGTTTCAAAACCACTTGTAAACTTTTAAGTTAAATGACACTGTGGGGGAAGAACAACGCTAAGAAATAACTTTAAACAAGGGGAAAAAAACTTTTTTATTGATATGTTTTACTTTGCTGGCAGACCAGAGCAAAGGTTTTGTGAACATTTAAAAGATGAAAAAGGTGAAGAATCCCAGAAGCGGTTTATCTTGAAGCGAGATAACTCTAGTATTGATAAAGAAGACAATCAGGTTGGTTCTCAAGTTTGAGAGTGGCTGACATTGTTGTTTTTGAAGGTGGGCTGACTGATGTTCTTGTCGTCCCTCTGTTGTCCCTGCCTTCCCTCCAATATTCCCTTGCCTCTAATACCACTGTCCTATCTCCAGCCTCCTTCTCCTCCTTGCCTCCCCCTTTGGCATTCAATGGGTAGCAATATATATATATGTATATATATATGTCTGGTTGCTTTAGCAATGGCTCTGTGTTGGGCTGCATGGGTGGTGCTTGGCGCAGTTTCTGCTGCATGTCTGGGGGGTCGGGATGCCACAGGCTCCGAGCTGTGGAGAAAAGCTTTGTCAGTCGCATTTCCAGATGTCTGTGTAACTATGGCAGTCGTTCCACTCCCTACAGCTTTGTCCTTCAGTTGTGCACAAATTGAGCTGGATAATCAATACGGATCGATGATCAACCGGTGTAGCTGTAAAGAACAAACCTTGTTATGGTGAGGACAGGTGGATTTTGCAACTATCCTAAAATAAGTCTTCACAGAAAAAAATTGAGTTCATGTTTTAGTCTTTTATCCCCTCTCCTTCCCATGTTTTATGGTCCATGTAAATTGTCTGCCTGTTTTGCATGAAGTGTAGCAGAACTTTATCCTTGTGTATTTCGCTTGTAACAAAACACTATGTTGTTCTAGAGCAGGCTTATTTGTGGTATCCAGACAAGAGTAAAGAGACTTTACTAAATCTCTTCTTAGATGGGGGCTGTGGGATCCAGGGTGATTAGAAGAAAACTAAATAAATGGCAAAAACCCACAAATTTTTAAATGATGATAACAATAGAAAGTCATGTAAATGCAATTCCAATTATACTTTGTGTCTCTGACAATCAAAATAGATTTTTTGAAAATGACTTTGCTTTAGAATTCTTAAAGGTAAGACAAAATGCATCTCAAGTTATCATTTTAATCACTCTGAGTGAGTCATTCAGCCGGTATGTGCGTCTCTGACGCACTTCTTTAAAACTTGTTCCTCATTTGTATCTCGTTTCCTCCCACTACCACCAAGCTACACCATGGCTCCTTTTGACTATGAAACCTGTGCCTGTGTCATGTTTAGTGGGTGTCTGTTGATGGATGGATGGATGTGGTTAGTGCAGAGCAGTTTGTAAGGAATGGCAAGAATAGATGGAAGGAGATTTAAGATGCAGGAAGTAGTTCAGAAAACAGGATAAAGAGCAGTCCTCATGCTGGGTTCTTTGAAGCATTACTTTAGTCTTCTTGGTATTGACTCTTGTTAACAAACAGGTTTTTAAAATTTAGCCTGTAAGCCTGAGGTCATTGATTCTATGCTAAATGCAATTCATAGGAGCAGTCACTGAATGAATAACACAAATTAGAAGATGGAGAAATAGTGTCCACATCTTCCTTTCTGTTCATTGCTTTCTTCGCTTCCTTGCTTTTTCTCCAGTCCCCAAGCTTTCAAAATGATTTCTTCCCTCAGCCACCTTGAACTAGCCACTTCCTCTTTTCTTCACCAGCATTCTGCCTCCTTCTGAGGAGTCAGAACTGCAAAGGACAGAGTTCATCAATGATGAGTCACCACCTACCTGAATTGGCTGAATACCTGAGGCACATCGAGGTGTATTCATTTTGGAAACACCCGTGCTACTTGCATCCAGTGAGGAACCAACCATTAGCAGCAAATACACACATGGAACATGCACCCAACACAGCCTCCTCAGGGAACAGAGAGAATGAGATTTTTCAGGCTCCATTTGTTTAAGTGAACATTTATTATTCTTAGCTGACAGTTGCTTGACCGCAGATTTCTAACAACTCAACTTGGATAACCCTCCTGATTTCTTTTTTCTGTTCAGCAAAACAGAATGCATCCATTTAGAGATGACAGACGAAGTAAATCAATTGAAGAGAGAGAAGAGGAATATCAGAGAGTGAGGGAGAGAATATTTGCACACGATGTGAGTAGTTGTTTTAATTGCCTCTTTAGTGCACTCCTTCCAACAGCAGTAGGGCTTCCTCATTCTCCAGACAGAGAGGTGGCAGGGAATAAAAACACTGGAGCCAGAGAACAAATCAAACTGAAGAAAACTAGAGGTGATTTTGGAAGAGGATCTGGTTCAGGGAAGTGATAGAAACCTAGCCGAGGTCTGGGTGTGTTCTTAGGATATGACTGGTGGGGGCATATAGAGGTATGATTTTTGTCTGTGATACAGACCTTAAGTACAGAGAGAGGTTGTCAGATTTGAAGAAATGCCTTCACCTCCACACCAGCCAGCAGATCACGTACCTAGTGTTGTTTTCTTTTTAACAATATTGTACAAGGGAAAGAACTACAAAGAAGAAAGAATCTGTTTATCTCACACACATATCCATAAACAAAGAGCATTTTCTGGGCTCTTAGAAAATATGGATATTTCATTATAGTAAAGTTGGATTATTTTTCTCTTCAATTTCAGATCAGATTTGTGAACAGTTTGTCAAGGGAATAATCACAAAACAAATCCCAACAACAAAAGGTTGGAATTTTTTATCTTTACCCACTATGGTCAAGATAAAATGCAATTACTTAAACATTAAAAGGTGAAAAAAATGGGAAAACGTCAAGCAACTGCCATATCATTTTCATTACATGCAATCATTTAGCAGCCTCCTCAAATGATGTGGGTTCTTCCCTCTGTGGAAGTACCAGTGTGAGCTCCTTTCTAAGACTCTGTGGCCATCACTTCAGTCTTTGGCGAGTCATGTGGAATATCTGATCTCCTGCTGCGATCTCCTTCTGGAAGCTATACAAAGCCGGCCCAGAGAAGTAGGCTTCAGTGCTTAGCTTGGAGGAAGACTGCTGTCCTGAAAAATTTCAAGCCAGAGCCAGTTTCTCTGATCCTCCAGCTGGTGCTGTTTCCTTTAATATGAAAGTACAGGGGAGCTTCAACCTCCTCCACCACTGTGCTGCTTTCACTTTTATATCCCGCCCCCCACCCCAACCCCACCACCTTTCTCGAACACACTGAAATAGAATTTTGATGATTGGGTGCTGTAGCTAAGAGTTCTGAAATTAGGAAAGTGTGAGAGAGAGGGAAATGGAGGTCACCATAGTTGGAGATCTGGATGCAATTTTAGAAGTCTCTGCATACATGTAGGCTACTTAGACTTTTATTGTGGTCAGAATTTTAGACAATGCAAAACACAGCCTGACACATGGTGAGCCTTTAATTGTGTTTGGTGAATACAGGAATGAAGTGATGAGAGGATCTATGCTAGTCATAATGAGATAAGGATGCCTACAGGGGCCTGGGAAGCAGCATGTTCCTGTCTGAAGACCTTCATAAAGCTTCATAGAGAGAATTTTGTAATTCATTTTTTATTCTTATCCTCTCTCTCTCTCTCTCTCTCTCTCTCTCTCTTTCTCTCTAACACACACACACACACACACACACACACACACACACACACATACACACACATTTTCCCTCACACTCTGGTCCTAGCAGGTCAAGTAATTTATAAATGAGTTATTATGTTGAAAAGAAAATGCAAATCATACATATAATGCACAAGCAATATTATGCTTTTTTAAAAGTTGTGTCACATTGCTAAACACTTGAGGGCTAGGTGACAGAAAGTCTTTCACTGATGCCTGTCTGTGATGAAGATGATACCTGTGCTGCTTATTTCATTTGCCAACTCTCACTTTTAAAGAGAGGTCACAGGGAAACAGGGTCTGCCTGACTGTCTTTGTACATTGCATTTCCCTACAACCTTGTTAACGAGATTAATAGCTGGGGATCTGGGATAAACATTTTAGGCAAGTGTTGCTATTTGAAATCTCTATGTCCACATGCTGTGTCAACATTTAAAAAAAAAAATAAAAGCACATTTAAATGTGAGAAAGCTTAAATGTCAAGCTATTGCCGTAGCTTTTCCAGTCCAGGAAATCATTTGGCTGCCTTCTTTAACTGCTGTGGCTTCTTCTCTCTGTAGGAAAAGAGGTGTGAGCCCTAGACTCATTAGTGGCCAGCTCTTCTGGCTTTACTAATTTGACTGGAGCACCAGCCTGTTTCTGGCACTCCTTTTAACTTGAGATCCTAGGGCAGGGTTTTAAACTGGCATCGGGTACCCAGACTATACTCGTAGAAGGACTTGACCGATTAAATGAAAGCCGTGACATCATTTGCAAATCATATTCATGGACATGTGTGCTTTTTTAAAGAAAGAATCCCTGTTGTATACGTATTCTTACATGTTTCCATAACCCTTAAAAAGCTAAGAGCCTGTCTCTTAGAGGGCAAGAAACACTCAGTGTCTTTCTTTCTACCTGTATAGCTCTGCTAGAAATATGCAGTCATACCACTGGTATTTTCTGTGCGTTAGCTGTTTATTGCCTTACAACAAATAATTCCAAACGTTGGCAGCTTAAAACAAACAAAAAACACTTACCATCTCACAGTTTCTATGGGTCAGGAGTCTGGGAGTAACTTAAAATCTGATTCTAGCTCAAAATCTGACATGAGGTTGCAGTTGAGTTGTCAACTGGGGCTCCAACCATCTGAAGGCTTGATCAGGTGGTTATCCGCTTTCAAGCATGATCGTTGGAAGGCCTCAATTCTTCACTGGATATAGGCTGGAGATCTCAGTTCCTTACTATGCAGGCTTCTCTGTAGGCTGTTTGGTGTCTTCATGACATGGCAAATCACTTCCCCTGGAGAAAGTGATTTCAGAGAGAAAGAGAGAGAGCCCAAGATGGAAGCCACAGTCTTTTATAACCTAATCTTGGAAATGACCTATCTTCCCAGCTATATTTTCTTGGACACTCAGATCAACCTTGGAACAATGTGGGAAGTACCAAACAAGATTGTGAATATCAAAAGGCAGGGATTATGGGGGTGACTCTGTATACAGAGGCTACTATATCCTCTATTGACACAAACATGAAGGCAGGACGCTTTAGGGGACCTTCATCTAGTTCTTCCAGATCCCCAAATGATCATTACCAGTAGCCCAAATGACTGAGGCACAAGATCGCTTTTTCATAAGATGATAATTACAGTATATTGAGTCAATTAGAGAACAAATGCAAAGAATCCAGCATAAGGAAACTATGTTACAAAACCCTAATCTTCGTTGGTGTTTAGTTTAGTTTCTTCATAATTTGAAAACCGAGCTAACAAAGTGGCTTTCCTTGACAATTGTTGATTAAGTAGCAGAGTTATTCAAGCAGGTTCAGATATCACTTAAGTGTATTGTTTTGCTACTTCAAGTAAAAGTAGAGGATGAGAAATACTTCCTATTATTTATAATTTATCAAAAAAAATTTTAATCAGAAACATTATTGAATATTTTCCAAATATATCTTGGTGTCTAAGGTGTCTGTGTGTGTGTATGTGTGTGTGTGTGTGTGTGAGAGAGAGAGAGAGAGAGAGAGAAAGTGTGTGTGTGTGTGTGTGTGAGTGTGTGTGCGCTTTCGTATGCAGGCACATAATCGAAATATATGGGTTGCTTTGGGGATTTACTAGAAAAAAAATTCAAATCTACTTTGAGAATTTTGATATATTGAGATAAGACACATTTATTCATTATTTGAGAGCTAAATAGTTGTAAGCCAAAACAACAATTTAGAATTTAGTACCCAAATAATAAATATATTTTTGTAATCAGTATATATGAATATAATGCTTTTTTCCTTTGGCAAAACTTTATATTTAGGCTTAGTTTATGGTTAATTCTACGCAATGTAACTGACTTTGGAAAGGTTAAATTGATAAAGCAATATACTTGAGAAGGTATGTTTTGCCTGGAGAGTAATTTCTGAAAGGTATTTGTGTATAAACAGGGATTCAGTGAAGAGTTCATCTGTGGTTCTCCTAGCATGTACTAGGACTCCTCTTCAGTGGGAATGGGTGACAAGGGCATGTGGTGCCACGAGAGTTGAGGGTGGGATGTGGGAGAGAACTTTATAACCCATTAAACAAAATCATTTTTCCTCTTTTAAAAAGAAGCAAGCCTTTTATATCTGAGAATGCATATAAGTGACAGCTTTGAATGTTGCACTTAATTACTGTGACAATTTTATCTTTCTCTGCTATTAAAATTTGCAAGTTATTAATACTACATTTTTTAAAAAGTTTATTTTCATCAGCTACTGAATCATAGCCCATAACTATGTCTATCTTATTTACAAAAATGTATTTGAGGGGATAATGAGATAATAATATTTTAGGAACTTTCCAAAGAAATATGAAAAATACAATGTTATTGGGCAACTTTTTTTTTTTTTTTTTTTTGAGACAAGGTCTGTTGCCTAGGTTGGAGTACAGTAGTGTGATCTCAGCTCACTGCAACCTCTGGATTCTGGGCTCAAGTGATTCTTCCACCTCAGTCTACCGATAGTTGGAACCACAGGTGTGCACCACCATGCCCCACTAATTTTTATATTTTTTATAGAGACAAGGTTTCACCATATTTTCCAGGCTGGTCTTGAACTCCTGAGGTTAAGCAATATGCCTGCCTTGGCCTCCCCAACGTGCTGGGATTACAAGTGTGAGCCACCACTCCAGCCTGGGCAAAGTATCTTGACTTGCTGGTGTATTACTTTTTAATACAGAGTTTGGGGTTCTTAACTTCCCGCGAATGCTATTAGATTCGATCTGAAGAGGTCACTATATCTTTAATTAACTCCTTCAGATGAATAGAGTCTCAATAATTCCAATACCCAGACAAAACATTATAAACACAATCAACCTCTTTCCAACTATTAGAGCTGAGAAGTAGCAACGTATGAACTCATAATGTATATCTGAGCTAACCTCACTTTCTTTTACATGCCATTACTTGACTCCAGCCAATAGTAAAACCAAATTAAAGGAAATAAAAGAAGTTAGGATATTCACTGTACTGTAAAGAGCCCTTCACAGGAATGTCAATGGCTCATCATTTATGTTTGTTTTCCTTTCATATATGTATATGAAAGAAAAAAATGACATATATATATTTTTTTAAAGTTGTTTTCTGAAAAGCTTTATTTTTTAATTGGCTCTTTTTGCTTTTTGTTAAATCAAGTTTTTACACACTTGAAATTCAGGATGTACATTAAGCGCAGAAAGGTTAAGCATAAACCTTAGAGATGCCGTCACTGAAATTCTCACAACACTGAGGGAAACACCATGCCTAAATCTAGCCCTTTGACTTAGTGGAAGGAAATTATTTCTCTAGCAAAATGAAAATAGAAACCAATATTCTGCTTGCCTTTCACGTTATGTAAGCAGGATCTTTTAAATCAATAATTGGTTATTAAAAGTTTATTATTACTTCTTTAGTTTTGTTTTATCTTAAAATTGACCTAAGTCGCTACTTATCCCTTTAACAAGTCATTTATTCATCATTTTGAAAATCTATGCATATAACAAGATGTGTATTTATGTTTAAAAACTGAAGTACTTTGGAAATGGTTTTGTGTTACTTCCTAAATACAGTCACCCTGTGATAGACCACAGCATCATATCTTAGTCTAGACTTCTCTTTTCTATTTGTTTAAGTTTAATTTGATCCAGCTTTCCTCAGCATGTAATGGTAATGGAATTTTATCCTCCCTACATTGTGCATTAAACACAAGATAAGGAAGAAATGAATGCTCGGTGAATAGAAGCTAAGAAGAAAGTCATTGATTTTTCTATGTGAAAAACTGGGAAATATTAGATGGAGCTTGATTTTTTTAATTAGCTTATTTTCATCTTCACTGGTCTTCTGCCCTTCCCCTCTTACTTAAAATTAATAATTGATGGCATTTCTTCAATGTTGAGAGTCTTGCAGACAATCTCATGAGAGTTTGTCCATACCAGGTAATAATTTCGGGAATGTGGCTTTACGGCTCTCCCATTCTTAGGTGAATCGTATGGAGTTTGCATGCTTTGCCTTGATTTGAACCCCTTTCCTTGGCTTTTTTTGGTGGACTGCACCTGTGCAGCTCCAGAAGAAACCACTAGCTCAGAATCTGACGGCCTCATATTTCTCCAGCAGTCTCATTCACATTTCTCTTCTTCTGACCTCCATGCCAAACAGACTAAATCTAAAACCTGGAGATGCTCTGAAGGAAGCATACCCTATGCAGCATGAGATTATTTACTTTTCTAATCCTAACCTACCTTTTTCCTTTTTTATTTCTATCTTCTGTATGTAATTTTTTTTATTCTTTTCCCCTGTGAGGGAAAATTAGTTTTAAAATCAGGCAAGTATTTGGGATCCCTCAGCATATCCAGAACGTCTGATCCAATGCCTTTTTTTATTTTTCAGTCAGTTTGCTCCCAGGAAAGCCTTTTTGTGGAAAACAGGTAAAATAAAATTTACTTTTTCATGTCGTTAGAGGAACAATGTCTGTCATGTGTGTCCTGTATATTCATGAATACATATGCTATGTATGTGTGTGCTTGAGTATATGTATTAGCAAATACATATATCTATGTGTACACACATATATATTCACACATACATGTTATTTAACACATCTAAAAATTACCTAATTTGGAAAAACTTTCTCTGTTAATTCCAAGCAGAATTGTAAATATTTTTCTTATTTAAAGTCTCAATTTCTGGTCCTTGCAAAGGCATAATTCCTATTACCTTCACCAGGCATTAAGAATAATAAATGCTGAGACATCACAGGAAGTTGCAGTTTCATTGGCTTATTTGGTAGTCTGCTAGAAGCATGCATATATTTGGTATTATCGGCCACTTCTTGTGCCCATAATAATATATAGCTGTACAAATAATAATTGGAATAATATTATTTCAGATTTTTAAATTCTAAACAATCTATTAGTCTTCATAAAAGACTTGGCCTTGAAAACATGATCTAAACTGGCCTAGATTTAGCAGTGTACCTGGTATAGGAGTTAGTAGGGGGAGGTAGTTGTTATGAAATTAATGAGTTATAAAATTTATAGAGAATCTTGGAGATAAGAGCAAAGAGTTTTCAAATGTATATACACCCTTCAAAAATCATTCTTAAATTGACACATATATTAAAATATCTCATTGATTTAATTGCAAATACTCAGGGCAAATTAAGGAATCCACATTAACTGCACTAATCACATTTAAGAGGCATCAAAATGGGTACCTTGATCTGAAAATATGGTATATATAAATAATGTGGTGGTTAATTTTATTTCAGGAGTTTGCTTAATGGGTAGTCCTATGCCATTGATTAAAATGGAGCCTGTTTGATTAAATGCTAGTACTCAGAGATTTAAACTAGGCATTCAAAATGATTGGCTTAAAATTTTGCATCATTCATATTTGCAGTTGGAAATCTTTAAGAAACATGACTAAACCCCTTAGTGGAATGATCTCTTTTAAAAGAAGAAATGCAATTGAGGAACTCAAAAATGGGATTCAAAAACAACTTCAAAGTCCATGTATATTTAGACAAATATACCCTGTTTACAGTAAAACCAAGAATCCATAAGCATTGACATCTTACAGGTGATTCTAAAGGATTTCCAAAATTCTCTGTCTCTGCCAGAAAAATTAAGTGAGCACGTACAATTCAGATTCATGGGAAACCTTATTCTCTAGTCTTCTAGCCAATCATTTTCCATAATCTTATTCCTTTATGCTTAAGTTTCCCTTATCCTTAAGTTGGATTATATTCAACATTACAATAATTGGTCACGTATATATACTGCATATGTTAACAGGTCTTGATGGTTCCCAAAACCAAAAATCTGCTTAAGTGGCTTCCCTCCAAATATAAATATATTTCTTGCATACCTGCCTCTGGAATGCTAATATTTCATTATGCCAAAATATAAAGAATAGTTTTAATATATTACCCTAAAAATCACAACTAATATATTTAATTAAATCTCTATTATATCGATCTCTTTCATTCTCTTCTCCTCTTCTATTCCCTCTACTTCCTCTTTTCTTCTTTCCCCCTTACCTAGCATCAGTGCCTTAATCCTAGCATAGAAATCTTAATCCTATTTTACTGCCATTAATTCATTATGGCAAAATTCAACATCATGTAAATAAAACAGTGTGTGGATTGATTTACAAGAAAGGTGTGCGATAGTAGAGTGCACATCCATTTAACATAGGGCATTTAGTACCCTTAGATTTTATATCATAAAAATCATGTTTTTCATTTCCAGTAGGCTCTTGGAAGACAGTAACATATGCAATGAAACCTATAAGAAAAGACAGCTCTTTCGGTTGGTATGGTTTACTTTCTTAAACTGTGTTTTTTCAGATTTTGTGGTAGAATCAATGTTAAATACTAGTGTACTTGTGTAAAACATTTCCGTTCATTCAAAAATGTCTAGTTACCTCTTTGTAAATCTTGTTACATAGCTAGTATTTAAATTATATTTGGTAGTATGAGATATACAACTGGAAATCTATCACTTTGTGTACAATTCTTTAGGGTTCTAGTTTTCTGCTTTTCTAGGGTTAACTTTGGTAGCACACTGCTTTAACTTTCTCAGATTAACTTCAGTGAATTACACTGAATAATTTAAATTCTCCCTGACAGATTGCAACTGTACATACATTCTCAACACTGGAAAATAAATCAATGATAGCCATATTTGGGTAATTAATTTTTAATTTTATCTGTTATAGTTTTTCAGATGGTATATTTTCAAGGGTGAATTTTATTTCTTAAGAAAGCTATGAGGTTCCTTCCTATTATAATGAACTACTTAAATTAAAATCTGTGTGGGATAAGAGGAAAAAGTGACAATTTTTAAAAAGTTCTGTACTAGGCTAGAAGCTCTATGAAAGCAGAGGGACCATACCCATTTTCTCACTGCTCTATTCAATGTATATCAGACATCCATTGTAGAGCAAAGTGTACAGAGTACTATGAGTATACTCAGTATCATATATATATATATATATATATATATATATATAATGTGTTAATGTGTTTATGAATATTAGGATTTATCTCTGTCGTAGGAATGACAACAACAACAACAAAACTCTAACCCACTTAAAGAAAATTTAAGAATAGCAGATGAATTGAATGTTGAGAAATACATTTTTTTAATAAATCTGGACTTCAGAACTCATTATGAGTAGTTAATTTATTATCTTACACTTTGATTGAAGCAAAAAACAGAAGCTTCTTTTTGGACTTCCTTCATTTTTCTATATTGAACTATGCAGTCTATGAAGTCTTCTGTATGTATTATCAGACAATTAATTTTCTTCTTTACACTTGAAGATTTAAGAAAATAACCTTGCACTTCTCTTGAAAACTCAGAGAAGAGCTAAAATTTACCATTAGTCCTGCACTCACACATTATGACCTAGTTTGTTTAGGCCAATACGTATAGATAAAACATGGGTTCTTGTCCCCTAGAGGCCAGGTAGTTATACATAATCCCAAATCTGCCCCAAGACAGAGCTACCATATACTTAACCCAAAAAGAATTTCATCACCCACCAAAATCACCAAGCACAGAAACTCAGGAATGTAACTTAACACAAAGCCATTCACACAATTGTAAAAGCAGTTCAAGGTGTATATCATCCCTAACCTGTGCAAAAACCAAAACAAAAAACCCCCACACACATTTAGACATAAAGAAAAATAAATATTTACAGTTATATTAATCAGCACAGAAACAGAGCTTAAAATATATGCTTTATAACTCTATCTTGGGATCAAACCCTAGTTACTTATAAGAGGGCCAGTTCCAATGACCAGATATCTCATTACTATTATCTTCCTGGATTCTGGTAGGAGAGGACCAAGACTGGGCTTAGGAGGGAGGGAAAGACACCTGTGCCTGTGGTTTTCTACAATGCCTATTACCCCTGACCCAAACAGATTTGGAATTCAATACTGGAACTCACTTCACCACTGTTAAGATGAATGTATCAAGATCTCATAAATGATGTTGGCTATCTGGGTCTTCAATCAATGGTTAAATATCTGAAAACAATAATGTCATGCAGGTGGAATTCATGCCAAGTAATCATTACTTGTTAAAATATAAGTGTAGCGGAAAAAAAAAAGATGATAGTGCAGTATAAAATAGACAAATACAAAATATGTTTTAATGTATTGATACCTACAAATTATAAATTAGAATCATACATTATTTTGAATCTCATTAATGCTAATTCCCTAAGTCAGCAACTTAATTTCTCTTTCTTTTTAAAATGCACAGATTATGGTTTAGAACAGTGATTTGAGCTAGTGAGGTTGAGGTAGAGATGTTAAATACATCTTAGGTTACCTTATTGACCAGGGGATGTGGCATGAGTCTAAAGGAAATTCTTATAGCTCTAAAAATAGCTCCACCAGGGTGAAGGGTATAGACTACAACACACTAAATTGCACCCAGAAATAGTGGTGGCCACCTTCTTTACCCAAAAGTCTCAGTCATACTGGCGTTTGGAGGAAGTCTGGATTCCTGCCACGGAGGTACAGAGGTCATGGCTAAAGAGATAATTGAAGCAGAATTAGTAATGGGAACAAGGGATCACCCTCATATGGAGAGCTTCCATCTCATGCATCCAATAGTCTGAGGCTAAGCACCACTCCCAAATCGTCAAACCAGTGTTTTTCTGTAATAAATATTTCAAATCAGCTGCACATGAGATTATTGTCACATTTCTGGTGCATTCACAGTTGAATAATGATTCTGCTAGACTTTGTGAAAGATAGGTAACATAATCAGGATTATATGGGAGAAGAATGAAGTTGAATCTGGAGAATTAAAGAGAAGACAATCAGAAATAGAACACAAAGCCCTTGAAAAGGCTGTTTATTTCTCCACTCTATCTCCCATGGCTTTCTTGAATTTCAGAGGAGTTTAAGAGATAAAGCCACCTGGTCATTGGTGAAGGTCTGCTCAGTCATACCTACAACTTTGTTTTCATCAAGTGCTTCTTATTTCTAAAGCTAGCCATCTATGTGGTACTGAGAACAGAATGTTTGTAAAATGTTAACAGAAGATGGCAGGGCACTGAGTATTTTCATCTAATCTTCCACTCGAAAGTGCTTGTTTTCTCAATATTCTGTACCCCTTCCTCCCTTTGCTTGACTAAGTTCCTGTCACAAATCAGCCATTTCATTTTAATCTCTTATATTCATTTACCTTCTTGTGTTTTCCTGAAATAAAAGAAAAAGTTTTGTGAGTAAAGTTAAAGCAACACTTAACATTTTCTTTGTACTGTCTGTACAATTTTGTTGGTGAGTATTTCAATCAGGTATGGGCACTTCAAACATCTCAACAGCACATTGTTGTCTTTAAAATATTTTTCAATGAAGCTACCAATCACATCTGCGAGATTTGAATCAAGGCTTAAATATGTCACATTGCTAATATGAATTAGGTGTTATATTTACTGATCATGATTTATATTCCCTTCAGTTATTTATAATCCATTAAAATTTTAAGGTATTTTACTAATGCTTTATTTTTATCTTCAGAAAATCTTTTAAAATAGTAACAAAGTTATGCTTTAGACAGATTGGAAACCAATGAAAATGCAAATTTTATCAAATTTCTCTATAAAATACATGCAATTTTGCATATTTCTTAGAGATACTCTAGGGTCTTCAAAATTCACTTGTGGTTATTGGATCTCTTCCAATACATTTACTCTTTTTCCATTTGAAGTTTGAACAAATGTGTTCTTTCACCTGGGGAGTTTTTTTTGTTATTTCCATTGTTCCCTTTGGAAAGTTTTGTGTCAGTGTATAGTGTTTACACTATTATTAATTTCAAAAGTTTTTCTAAGCGAAAGGAATTAAAGTGTTCTTTCCTCTGACCATGAAGGTTAAACTCAGTAGACAAAATTATTACCATAAGTTAATAGAGTAATTTCTGTGATTTCTATGCTATCTCTCAAAACCTTGGTGATTTCAGATGTATGTTTCATAAAGCTGGAACATGAATTAACAGCTTCTCTGGATATGTGTGCATTTTTCCATTGACAATTATTTTGTGCTAAAGAGAGAGATAAAGTCTTCTTTGGTGGGAGTTACTTTTAGAATCATTTAAGATCATAATTACTTCTGAACATTCATGGATTATTGATTTGAGTCAGGAGAACTTATCTCCCTATTCTCTTTGCAAGAGAAGTTAACAACTACATTTTATACCATGTTTTTCTAGTTGTTTCTCCTTCACTGACAGAGGGATCATGTGACATTTCTAGGTTTGGTTTTTCTGTTTGTAACTTGTGTGTTATGTCTGCTGTGTTATCTGTCTATGTATCACCAAAGTATTTGTAACACTGGGAGGCAACTTGTTTAATGAAAATAGGTTAGCAGGAAGGGTCTGGTGTGGATGCCTCTTCCACAGAAAGGCTTGCTCTGCACCACACCATTCAAGTAAGGTAATCCTGTCCCTTTGCATCTTTCTGGTGACTGTGCTCCAGGGGCAACAGAGATGGCTCAGGGAGAACATCTGGGAGTCGACAGAGCAGCTCAGAGAATGAACTCAAGTGGTCTGACCACCAAAGGGCCTGGAGCAGCACAGACTCCGACAGTTCCAACCGCAATCTAAAGCCCGCCATGACCAAGACGGCGAGTTTTGGGGGCATCACGGTGCTGACCAGGGGTGACAGCACTTCTAGTACCAGGAGTACCGGGAAGCTGTCCAAAGCAGGTAGTTAGTACTGAATGTGTTTATGTCCTGCGGTATTTTTGGGATTCTACCCAAGCCATATGGTCACCATTCCCTCTGACTTTGAGTTGGCTGTTAATGATGATATTAATTACAGGGATAGCTGGAAGTCAGAAGGTACAATTTAAATAGGTTACTGCCTCTTGCCAGCTATATGCCTAGGTCAAGTTATTAACCTCTTCAAGCTTCAATTTTCTCATCTGTAAAATGCAGGTTATATAATGTCATCCAAACCCACCTCAGTAGACTTAGAGTTTACTTACTTAAGTACATAAGTTTACTTACTTAATTTAAGTTTACTGAGTAAACTTAAGTTTAAATTACAGTACTTACATAAAAATGATTACCATGGCACCTGCATCACAGAAACTAGCAAAAGTTTGCTATTGCTTTTAAATTTAATAATATGAATTATTCCTTAAAAACAAACTGTAAGATAATTATAATATTAGTAGCTTTCGTTCTTGCATTGAGATGCTCTGAGTGTGATCCTGGGCATGGTTTTCAACTGTTGTGTGCCTCTGTTTTCTTCATCTGATAAATAGAAATAATAATAGTACCTATATTATAGAAATATTATGAAGACTAAAAGAGTCAGTATACAAAAAGCAACTTGATTAACATCTGGCAAGTTATAAACTCCCATAAACTCTAGTTCTAATTCATTTTTATTATTGCCATTTAATGTTTTTATCCCTACTTTGCAGATAAGACAAGTTGAGTGTCAGAGAGATTTAGAGTTTCCAAGTTACCAAATGCTTGTATCTTTTTTTGCAAAGTGAAGCAAATAATGATATTCTGAGGTAGGTAGTTCAAGTTTGCATGAAAGTTCTCGAAGGTGAGTGACAATGAGAGATTCAGGAGAGCCATTATCTTGAAACAACTTTAAACTGATGTAAGCATATACCACGGCGCTACATGAGTCTGCAAAATACCTGCATGGTCTGCCATTTCTAGCTCTTCTGTCTCCCAAAGATTATTTACTATTGTTTTCGAGTTATTTTCAAATGTTCACAATTAAAGTACCTCCCAAAAGCTCAGGGAGGGGACAAATGACCATTCACTAGCATTCTATTAACTGAAGTTTGTGATTTTTGTTATGTAATTGTTTTTGCTTTGTTTTGGTTCTGCTCTGGAAAATCAAATTCCCTGACACTTGTGTGGGTGGGGTGGGGCACTGAGAGTTGTGAATCCATCGTATGCTCTGGGTGTCACACTGTACAGGTGGAGCATTCAGGATCCTGAAGTGACAGGTGAGTGGGAGGCCAAGGCAGGAGTGGGATGATGAATGGAGGACAGCCATTAAGAGTTTAGACACGAGCTGCCCTGGACTGTGGATATTTTCCCAATAAACTTTTACTCTCCTGTTAGAGCCAAGGGGTCCCACACCTCCATGCAAAATCGGGGTTCATCTGCTGATGGTTTAATATAATTAGGTTGTGGACAAATTCCTCCTAAAAATTATCTCATGTTTTTCTATATAAGGAGAAAATTAATAGCATTTTCTTACAGCCCCTATATAATACACACACCCTACTTCTTGGTACAATTCAGATGGGCTCACACTACCTTCCTGCAATTTTTATTCACTAATTGGTGAGTTCTTGATTTCTTACTCTAATTAATTGCTCTCATATCCTACTATTGTAGCAACTGAAGTAAAGAAAATCCACTGTGGTGCACTCGAGCTGTTGTAAACTAAGAAAGGTTTAATAGTTTTAAATCTCCTTAAAATGTGAAAACCAAGTACTTTAAATGGTGCACTTAAAAATTCCAGCATACCAAAAGAGCTCTTAAGATTTTTAAATTAATAGTCATTCTCCATGCACCAGCCCCCCAGTCACTTCCAAAGCAAAGCTCTTTGGAAACATTTAAAACACTTCAAAAATGTTAAAATGCCGTGTTCTTTGAAGAATGGTTAGAGATTATAAGTGCTTCAGACTTTTTTTTCTTTTAATCTAAGTGTCTCCATTTGAAAGCTTGTCAAAGTGCAGGCATGGAAAGGGAATAAAAACTTAAAGAAGATCAAGGTAGGATGTCAAAACAAACTTACAATTTCCCAAGATGGATTTATGAAGCAAAGCTGTCAGTTTTGCTGTCACAGAGCTTCAGAACAGCTCAAGTTTTCCATTTTTTACCTAATTGTTCACAGTGGAATTGCAAACTTTTTTTGATGACCTTTTAGAAACCAAGTCTGGAGTTGTGACATTTAAGTTACTCTTCTCCTCCTCTAATTACACAGATTCTAGCTTTAAATAGATAATGATGAGACTTTTTCAATGTTGGAAACACGTTTTCCGACATTTTGGAAGAAGACGTGTTACTGAAGTACAAGAGAATGTACAAGCACATTCTCTTGAGGCCTGTGCTGCCTACCAGATGCCCAGAACACATTTCTGGAGGCAGGTGATGCCATGGTATCCTCCTTACGAAAAGCAGTTGAGTGATAGCTGTGCAGCAACCTCAGCTGTTTCTTGTTAAGAGCCATGTGGTTGAGAAATAAAAGTATGGCATCAATTTCTTACCCATTGGCCTATCTATGCTACCACTATTGTTCCGTCATCTTGATTTTCAAAGCAGGGCTTCTCAACTTTAGCTCCATCAGAATCACCCAAAGGACTCCTTAAATACCAGATCGCAGCACTCAATCTAGGGGTTTCTGGGCACCTAGGTCTGGGATGGGGCCTGAGAATTTGCATTTCCAACAAGTTCCCAGTTGACGCAATGCTGCTTGTCTGGGAACCACATTTCAAACACAATCGCTCTGAAGAAATAAGACGTCCTTTGGTTTGTTTAAACAATTTTAGGTGCTCTGACATGTTGTTTTCTGGATGCAAGGCTATTCTTGCTATTGTCACATCCTTGCATACATGCTAGAGTATTTTTTGATCCAATCCAAGACACCTCATGTTTCTACAATTTCCTCTTCTTGGTCTCTATCTTTGTTACTACACTAATATAATACATCCTGATTGTCCCTTCCTTCTTGTAATTTTGGAAATTTTAGTTATTCCACTGAACCCTGACTCCCCTGAATCTGGAAATATTTTCTTAAATTATGTATTTATAATTTAAATAAAACCTTTATGACTTGTGGTCCTTGTAAAAGAAAAATTGTACCAGATGGTGCAGGAAAAAGAATGTATTCATTATTATTGCAACAAGGATAAAGACTATGATCTCTCTTTTTAGAGAGAGAACTGAATTCCACTGAATCAAAAAGCAGGAGTCTTCAAGCACTGGGTGAGCGAGTGGTGAAATTTTGGAGGACATTATGGAGGAAATTGAGTGATGTGATTAGGCTATATGTGTTTGCTAATTGGTGCTGTGAATGTTAGGCTCCTGTCCTCCCACAGAAACTGAGAGATAGGGGCTCTATTTTTCATGATGATTAGATTTCAAAGGGATGGCTTTCAGGTACTTAAGAAAGTTCTTCCTGGCTTGTAAAAGTGGCTAAAGGCTAGGAGATTTACATCTCAAAGGGGCATAAATGTTCTAAGGAAAGGGAGGTGTGGAGGCCCTAGTCTAAGAAAACAGAGAAAAGTTTGGTCAAGCTGAGGGGAACATTAAGGTCATCTTCCTTACCATTGCTCCCCATTTAGTCTGGTACCTTATATTTTACAAGAGTATATTGAGGTCTAAAGTAGTCACTTCATGAAGAAAACACACCTAGTAAGTGGCAGAACAAGAATTAAAACCCAGCATCCTTCTTCCCTGGGGAAAGTTCTGTCTGCTCCAAGGGAATCTGCCCATACCTTTCCTTTCTGCCGTGTCCTTTCCTGGCTTTTCATTTTGTCTTACCTTGTGATCTCTTTTTCTATCTTTTGTCATGTTTCCCATTTTTGTTTTTCTGTTTTTCTCTGGAGGGTTCACCTGGGTCTCTCACCTGGCCACGCAGATGTCTTCTTTTTTCTCCTCTCTGTGGCTACCCCTTGGGGTTCAGCTTTGGTTTCTAGGCATTGTGTCTAGCATGGAATTTCTATCTAGTATCTCCTAGAACTTCACACAGGCTTGCTCAGGGCCCTGGCCCCAACTGGGCCTTGCTTAAATGCAAAGAAGATGAACGTGACCTACAGACTTAAAGAGCCACCTGTGGAATCAGGTTGTCTGGGTTTGAGCTCAGATTCTACCACACACTGAGCTTTGGGAAATTTATTTAACATGTCTGAAGATCAGTTCTCATCTTCAAAATGTTACTACTGTAAAAATTAGATTAGACAATTGACATAGAGAAAGTAGCACCGTGCTCGTCACATACGCATACTGTATAAATATTTCTTATGGTTATCATCAAACCTCTAAAAAAAGGAAACTAGAAATATTTTTAACTCTCAAGCATTCTAAATCTTAAAAGTTCTCAAATATCAGTTTCATTGTTTAAAAAATATTTGAACACTTCTAATCCTGTGCCTTTTAACAACATCATTAGCATTTGTGTTTTATCACAGACTTTAGCAACCCTGGCTATGTGTGGAATGTGGCTCTCTGTGGCCATCATGATTGATGTTTATATGCTGGTCAAAGCTGGTTATAAGCCAATCTAAACGGCCGGTTACTAAATCCTGGCTGCATGTTGATTGCTGAGTCATCCTTTTGGAGACGTTTGACTTTATTTTCATCTTATCAGGTGCAGAGAATTTGAGCCAAATTTAGGTTTTCTTCCTTCATTTTACCTGTGGAATCAAATCATTTATGTTGCCTCCTCATTTCTCCTATTGATGCTGCTCCTGTTCCCCCAGGTGAAGGAAGGGCATAATATTGTAAATCAGTGATCAATGGCCATCCTTCTAAAACCAAAATTAAATTACTCTTCGGATTTGTTTGTGACACTTCAGTCTGCCTGCATCAACCCACCCCGCCCAACACACACACCCATGCCATCACTAGCTTACAGCTCACATCCGAGTTAGGACGCACTTCTTTGGCCCCAGCTCTTTCTTCCGTGCCTAGTCCCGCAGTCTGGAGATGAGCTGAATCATGTTTGTATAATCTTAAATACCTGGGTACAGGAGTTTTGTCGTTGCTGTGGACTCTAGAGTCAAATGTGTAACGTAGCATCAAATTATACACAGCAGGTCCATAAACAAATGCTACAGTCTGCATTGAGACTATGATCACAGAGTCATAATTTCAGTGTCATAGTCTCAAAACTTCTATTAGCATTTTCAATATTCTTTTTACATATTTTTATTTTTCTCCCCATGCCTTATTCAGAACCCCATCAGCATTCTAAACCACTTAGCAGGAGCGTCCTAAATTGACGTGAAACTATCATTATTAATAATCAAGTCATGGGGAAAGCGTAAAGATGCCCAGCTGAGAACACCAGAACACTTGTGACAGGTCATGGTATATGCATATGTACAATTATAAGAAGCAATGTGGGGTCATGGTTAAAGCTTGAGCTATAGATAAGTCTGCATGGACCAAATTCCAGCTCTGCCATTATCTAGCTGTATGAGCTGACCTGGGTTACCTAATTTTCTTATATTTCAGTTTCTGTACAAGGCAGTAACCGTTATTATTTAAATGTTTATTCAAGGGCTTACACCTACTAAGTGCCCAGTAAATATTACCATTCTCCTCAAAATTATCATGCTCTCCAAATGCCCCTCTTCTCTACACTTAAATGTTATATTCCTATCACTTATTTTAAAAGATCTCCAGTTTTTAAGGGCATATTTTAGAATCTTTTGAAAGAATGTTAATAACTGATTACATATTTTGACTTTAATGATACATAAGAATGCATTTTTAATGACATAATCAATGGTGTAGGCTGATGATTTAATCAACCTCATGTACAACATTCTTGCAACCTGTATTACCCAAGTAATCTATTAGTTTGAATTCGCAGTCGTATAAATTTTACTTAGTGTGTTTTCTCTTGGCTGCTCTGGTTAATACCTAGTGCCCAAGAGAGCCATGGTGAAGGGTACTGGGGCTGCTCAGCTCTTGCTGCAGTGAAATGCCAGTGAGTGCCAACGGACATATTGGGATATGTTTCTCTGTTTGTTCATAATGGTGGAACAGAAGAGATTGTTAGATTCACCTTAGAGGCTTCTTCACACTGTTCTGGGTTATGTATGTGTCTGAAAAATTTGGAATCCATAAACATCATGATTATTTTACTATTCTGTGTCATCTAAAGGATATTCAGTCATTATAAGGCCAAGCCCTCTTTGGTCTACCCTTTAACAATACTAATAAGACTTCTTCAAATATGCAAAATTCAGTACAGTACCATAAACACTTAAATATATTACATTAATAATAATAATGCCTACCATCTATTTGATTTCTTGCATCTTTTTTTTTTTTTTTAATGGAGTCTTGCTCTGTCAGCCAGGCTAGAGTGCAGTGGTGTGATCATGGCTCACTGCAACCTCTGCCTCCCAGGTTCAAGCGATTCTCCTGCCTCAGCTTCCCAAGCAGCTGGGACTACAGGCACGCACCACCACGCCTGGCTAATTTTTTGTATTTTTAGTAGAGATGGGTTTCACTATGTTAGCCAGGATGGTCTCGATATCCTGACCTTGTGATCCACCCACCTTGGCCCCCCAAAGTGCTGGGATTACAAGTGTGAGCCACCGCACCGCATCATATCTAAAGTTTCAGCTTTACACAAAAGAATTATAACATTCAATGGTTTTTAATTGCCTCTAGTCAGATGGTTAGAAAAAGCTCTGATTCATTTGTGTCTCCCTGACATTCAATCCTTCACACTTTCTCCTTAATCATGCCACTCCTTAAAAGAGAGATCCGATTAGATTTTGAAATGTGTTTGCTCATATATGCTATGCTCCCAGGTCTTCTACTCACACATGAAATGAAAGATTATTTATGAATAGACCCCTTCAGACTTCAGCTGCATAGGTGTTGGAGAACCAGTATTTTAGAACCATGCACATGACCTGCATATCATAGGGCCCTTCCTTAAGATGCAGTCTCTAACCTCCATCCCAGTCATTTTATTCCTATTATTTCAGCTTAGTAAGACATTTCCATGGTACTGATTACCTGGGGATATAGGAAGGAGTTTTCAGGTACTGAGTTCAGAACTTTAGGGTACCCTTTACCGATTTATCACCCTAGTAATTTGTGAAAAGGCTGAGAAAGTGAGAAAGTTCTCATTCTTAATTCCTCTTTTCCCAGAAAATTAACACATCTGAAAAATATGTAGCAAATATTTCAATAAAATATGAGGCCAAAATAGGGGAGGGGCATTAGTTAATCTCATTCCACAGCATGCTTCTCAAATTATTTAATGATGCGTCACAGAAAAGCAAGCATTTAGACGCAGATTGGTGCTGTGTTGAATGATTTGTTGATCATATCCCTATGCCAGGTTCGGAGTCTTCCAGCAGCGCAGGCTCCTCGGGATCGCTGTCCCGCACCCATCCACCTCTCCAGAGCACACCCCTGGTCTCAGGTGTGGCAGCTGGCTCTCCAGGCTGTGTGCCTTATCCAGAGAATGGAATAGGGGGCCAGGTCGCTCCCAGCAGCACCAGCTACATCCTTCTTCCACTTGAAGCTGCAACAGGCATCCCGCCCGGAAGCATCCTTCTTAATCCACACACAGGTGAGTTACTACTTGCTTTATGAGGAACACAAGGCTTTTGGGAGTTTCTTCTTATGTTTGATCTTATGAACTTGCCAGCAAATAGTCTGAAAATTCCTGAACAGGAAAGCTAGTTGCATGAACTGTTGTGAAGCATTTTCGTTTAGAAAGAGCAGATTTACAGCAGTATCTATAGCTGTCTATATCTATAGACAGTATCTATACATGTCTATATCTTCATATCAATATTGATATACATATAGATATTTCTAGAAGCATTTACTTTTTTTCTTTGTCTTTTTTCTTTTACAACAATGTCTCTCATGCATGCTTAGGATCTAAGATGAGAGAACATGGTGATAAGCTGGGATATACTAATTAAAACTTTGTGTTCCTTAGGCTAAATCCTCAGTTAGCCTGTATTATGTCAGAAGTGTTTTTGCAGCCAAGGATATTTCTGGAATTGAAGTATCCATTGAGACATATAGTGACCATCAACCACAGAAGTTGCTTTTTAGCCTTAGAACTTCAGCCACTTCCTATGAAGGGCCGTAAGAAACAGAAGTGGTGAAGAGGATACAGAGAGCAAATTCTTGTGTACTTTAGAAATGTCAGCCCTAGACTGATTTTGGTGGGGTTTAGAAAATTGTTCACGCTGTGATTACAGTTTCTTCCACGATGAATGGTCATTGGTTCTTTAATTTTGAATTTCTCTAGTGGGTCATTTAACTTCCACATTGATTTCAAAAGACTGGGGGCATTGAGATTCTAACATCAGGAAATGAACTCGGGAATATCTGCTTATTTGTGGGGGAGACTTCTCAACCAGGGGCATTTTTGTCTCTGCCCCCAAGGCCATTTGGCAATATCTGGAGACATTTTGATTATCATGGCATAGGGAGAAGAGGACTGCTATTAGCGCCCAGTAGGCAGAGGCCAGAAATGCTGCTAAACATCCCCCAATGCCCAGAACAGACTTCCACAGCATAAGATTATCCAGTTCAAAATGTCAGTGGTACCCTGGTTGAGAATCCCTGGCTTAGAAAGCTTGACATTGACGAGTCACTTCTTAAGAGGTCTTTATTAGGAACTGACAATAAATGGAGTTGTCTTGAAACAGATCTGAAGTTTTGCTTCAACCATTCCAGACTATTTCTTCAATTAGCTAAACTTGAAAATGCAAAACTGGATGAGTATCTCATAAAAATGATCTGATTCAATCTTCTCACAAATATAGTGCTACCAGTAATTAGGAAATTCAGAGAAACATGAGAACTTTAGTAAAATAGTTACTTGAATAATTGCCACATTTTCATAAAACATATGGCACATTCCCAAGTCATGGTGTTTGACTGAGACATATTGAAAATGCCATAAGCTTGAGGGAAGAAAGGCATAATCATTTTATTGAAAACTGTTTGGAGCTTCAAATTAGATACTTCTAAAGAAGATTTTTAGATTGCTTTTATTTTATCTGGATTATTATAGGCACTATAAAGAAACCGAAAAGAAGACCAGGATCATATTCATTACTTTGGGCACTAATCAAAGTACTGTTTGACTTTGTTGGCTTAAACACTTTCACTTTTAATTGAGATAGAGGGCTTGCAGAAAAGAGCACATTTTAACCACTTGTTTTGAGTGGTTTGTTTTAAGCAAAATTACAGAGTGTTTTGAAAAAGCTCAACAGAGTATTTTTAGGGTACAATGCAGGAATATTATTTGTAATGATAGCATGGTTGTGCATGGGTATGTGTATATTATCATCTATAATCTTGTTTATAGAAAAAAGAAACAGAATGTTGTTTGATGCCAAGTCCCAATTCTTATTCATTGGACTGAGTCATTTAGAGCTGTTATCAAAATATCTCTTTTGTAAAAGGATCCCAACTAAGGAAAAGGATTTAATAACACTGTTGAACAGCTTCTCCATACATACTTTTCTGATCTGACAAACACTATATTTAAAATATTCTAAAGCAAAAGGAAATGTATGAATATATTGTATATTATTTTTGAGTAGTGAGATGCAAGGTGAGTTATGTTGAAAATATACACATGTATGTGTATGTACATATATGTATTATATATAATGCATGTTATATGTATACGTGTATCTGTAGTATGTGTATGTGTATGTGTATGTACATGTATTTACTTATCAAATCTCTTACTGTTGAAACTAAAAATTTGCCTCCTTTGGGTTGGAACTCCTCCTTCAGTCATTGCTGTGAATCTAGAAACTACACCGCTCACCCTTTTTAAAGTACCTTTCTACCAAGTACACAACAAAAATACTTGGGTGTTAGGAACCAAGATCATATGACTATTTTGCTTCTCATTTGTAGTGCTCATGGGCTCATTTCCTTGTTACCAACATACTTACAAGCTTTTGTGCAGAGGAGCCATGTACTTAGTTATTTTATTTGCTGCTTCCCCAGAATGGATAAAAAAGTCTTAGGCACTGTGCAGGTGCTCAATAATTACATCATTATTGAAGGAATATCTACTAATCATTACATATGTGGGATGGATAACAGACCAGTTTTTCAGCTAATGTCATATATTTGGAATGTGGCTCATGTGCAAAACTGTAATTGATAAAACATCTGTTTTAAGCAAGAATAAGATAAGCAATGATTTAAAAATACTAAGGTATCTGCCAATCATGTGCCTACTAAATGAAATAAAAATGCAACTTCCTTTGTCAGCACAACTGACTTGGCTCTTACTAAGTACTAAATATTTGGCACACTGAAATCAACCCATTCACATATACCCTTGCAGTTTCCCCAGTACAACCATAACTTTTAATTTTGTCTGGCCTCAGACTCAGCTTTCAGCTGGTCCATTTCTAACTTAGACCTTTTGTTCGTTCTTCCTTTGCTTTTCAGGCATCTGAATGAGTGAGGTGCCACAGAGGCTGTTTTTCAAAGTTTTCCCTGTATAACATCTTCATCCTTGTAAGGCAAGCCTGGACTCGGGTTTGATCTTCCTCCAGTTGTCTCGAACCCAGCCTCCTTTAGGAAATTTTTAGTAGAAAGCTCAGTTTCATTGGGCTATTTTACTTCAACTCAGTGCAATCCAGAAATGCCAATAGACATTGGCCTCCCTTAAGAACTCGTTAATGTTCAAATATATTATTTTGACATTTTGGTTGGCCATTATATGGTGCAAGTTTAAGGCTGTGTTATGTAAGGTCATGACATTTGCAGAGACTTCACTTGAGGAGCTTTTTGGATCTGTTGTCTTTCAAATATTCCTGATAGACTTTATTTTAATCAGGACTTTTAGCATCTATTTATCCAAACTGTTTCCACATTTTTAAAATTAAGTGAACCATGAATTTTGCATTCTGTCTATAAATGTATCTTTGCAAAGTCTAAGTTAATCCATGTCTACCCGTAATCAGTAGCTCCCTTATAATGTAACTATTTCTTTTTAAATAGTTACCCTTCTTCACAGAAGGGTAAATAGAGAAATGCTTTGGTGGTAAAAACCAAGATCATATGATGACTTCACTTCTTGTGTGAATTGCCCTTTAGTTCATTTCCTTGTCACTAACATATATATTCTTGTGTGGAGGGTCCATACTTAGATATTTTTTATTTACTTAATTTTTTGTGTGCTTTCCTGAAATTGATGGCAAGGTCTTAGGCATTGTGCAGGTGCACAATAATTACATTTATTTAAACAATATCTACTGCCCATTATGCATGTTGATATGGATAGTAGAACAGTTTTTCACCTAATGCCATATACTTGAGAGGAATAAGCATTCTGCGTTTAATCCTTTTCTCTGCACCTGCTCTGCATTCAATGTGCCCTGGCTTACTTCTGTCATTGCACTCTCTCCACCTATGCCAGCACCCATGCCAAGGCCTGCTGAGCGTGCTTGCGCAGTTTCTGACATGAAAACCTCCTCTAGGCTAACTAGGCTGAGGGCCAGCCAGTGCTTTTTTCCTCTTTATTCTTCAGCAGCTGTCATTCAAACTAATTGCTCGTATTCAGTGTAATTGCATCTGGATTGGTAGAAATCATAGAATATAGAGAGACTGTCATTGCCTGACTTGGAAACCAGTCATCACCTGTCCTGGGTCTCTTAGGAAATGGCTTTTGTTCTGTTCTCTGGCATCCATCTTCTTTCATGTTTCTCAGTTCTTTCCATCTCTCCTTGTTGGTGAGCATAAAAATCAATCTTTCATATTCTCTTCTCTTTCCATAAGAACCTGCCATCTCTCTGCTTAAGCGAATCCTTACTGATTTTAAATGTGCAATTATTTAGAAACTTCTAGCCCACAGTATATTAATCATATTTCAAATGGAGGATCTAGAATTTATCAAAAGACACATGAATGTTTTTGGAATTGTGTTTTAAAATTTTAGTTATGGTCAGTTTTTTTATACTTCCTTAGTTTTCATTGGAGTAAATCAAAAGCCATACAGAAATATAGAAAAACTCCTTTTCTTTTCCTTTCCGTTGTATATGTACACAGTGTGTGTGTGGGGGGGGTGTGTGAGTGTGTACATAACATGAGACTGATTTTGAAATAATTCCAAATGGAGTTGTATGACTGTCTCTGTGATTCTTTTTTTCAAAAAGTTAAGTACCTAGAATTTTTCTCTTATCTTTCTAAAATATAGAATGAATGAAACACAGGAAAACTAAAGATCAGAACACTAAATGGGCTGATAGATTTTTTAATATTGAGCTTTTAAAAATCTTTCCCCAAATTGCTGATCTGGGAGGGAAAATGGGTTATACTTTTGAAGCTAGAAGAAAATTATTTTTCAAAAAGAAAATTCATTTAAAACACTAAAATGCATCTATGTGATAGGAAAACAAGTGCCTGGAAAATGAAGAACATAAAAAAAAAAAAAAAAAGAGGAAGCGAGAGCAAACACTTGATTTTGTTGCTGTTTGGCAAATACAATTCTGGCCCATTTGCCTCGCCATCACAGCACATTATTGTTGGTTATGAAACTGTGATCAGAATTCAGGTATGTTTCTGAATATGCAACATTTCAAGTTTCTCATTACAAATACACAAATATATTTGCACTCAAAATCTGTGGGAATAATAGGGCATATGAGCCTCTGGTTGCCATTCCTAAGTGAGCTGAAGTCAAGGCTTTCGCTCTCTTGAGCATCTTGTTTGGCCTTACTACAATCTCAGCATTTTCCTCCGCAACTTGCTCCACTTTAATTGCTTAATTTATGGAGCTATACAATATACAGGGGAAATGCATGATCTGCACACATCTGAAATGCAGACCTTCATACATTTTTGCATATGTGAAAATCTGTGTAAACTTGACTCAGAATGAGACCTAGACTATATCTGGTCTTCCCATGGGTTTCCTCATGCCCTCCCAGAGGTACTACTGTTCTGAATTCTATTACCGTTGATTAGTTCTGCCTGATCTTGTAAGTAATAAATGAGATTTCACAGTAGATGCTTTTCTGTGACTGATTTTCTTTACTTAGAATATTCACTTAATTAGCTTAGTTCCCATGTTATAACAGTCTGTCATTGTAGAAATAGCATATGTACTTTTTTCACTAGAATATTTCCTTCCCCCGGGTCAGTTTATAGATTTATTTCACTTGTCTTGCTTTTTTATTTTTTTTCTGAGACAGAGTCTCACTCTGTCACCCAGGCTGGAGTGCAGTGGCATGATCTTGGCTCACTGCAACCTCCACCTCCTGGGATCCAGTGACCCTCCCACCTCAACCTCCTGTGAAACCAGAGGTGTGCACCACCATGTCAGGCTAATTTTTTATTATTGTTTTCTGTAGACACAGGGTTTTGTCCTGTTTCCCAGGCTGGTCTTGAACTCCTGAGCTCGAGTGATCTACCCACTTCAGCCTCCCAAAGTGACTGATTTCCTTTACTTAGAATATTCACTTAGTTAATTCGCTTAATTTCCATGTAATAGACTGTTCTTGTGTGAATATCATACAACAGATTACAGGCATGAGCCACTGTGCCAGACACCTTGCTCCCTTTTCTTGCAAATTTTTTCATACGATTGATGATTCTTGGTTGTTCTTAATATTATTGCAGAATAAGGCTGTTCTTGTTATTTCCTCTGCCATCATGCACGTCTTACCCTGGATAAGAATGGTCATGCAAGCCTTGGGTATCAGAACAATGTATGGATTGAGAGGCCTTAGAATACATGCTAGGGCGGAGCTCAGAGTGCTGCCTCCACTGGCTCCCTTATGCCAAGATGAGGAGGACCTTCCACTAAGTATCAACCCCATCCTGGGAGCCCTGTTCTTTCTAGGCATTTTCTCAGGCTTCTAGAGAATATTTCTCTGACTTCAGCTTGTAAACACACATTCATACTGCTCCTTTTCCAATAGGGTTACAGGATTTACTGTAAAGGAAAGAAAAGTCTCACAAGCAGTTCGGTGAATAGTTTGCAATCCATTTCCTCAAGTTCTGATGCTTCTCAATATTTATCTGCCAATACTGGGTATTGCTTCACCTTGAAACACGCCCTTCAACCCATCTGACTTCTCATGCATTGATTAATAATTTTCAGTTACGACTGGATTTTTTTTTTTGATCGTACTTATTATGTAAAATTGGATAATTCACTTTAGTTATGTGGCATAATGGAAAGTGAATAGACTTTGAAGTCTTACTGACCAGGATCATTTTCTACTTCTCTCGCTTACTGTTTTTTATATTTCTGAATAAGTTGCTTGGTCCCCCTGAATCCTAATTTTCTTTTCTCTAAAGTGGAAATAAGAACATACATCTGCGGGTTGTCAGGAGAGCTCAGATCATGCACGTAAGGTGTCCATCACTGTGCCCCCTTTACTCCCCCTCTTCCCCTCATTCAGTGCGCTTTGCTCTTCTTTTACTTTTTTATTCCCGTAATTATTCTAGGAATGAGGCTTCATTTTCTCTTCTGAAAAACAGAAAAATGATAACTTTCTTCATCACAGGAATTGTGCTGAGGCTCAAACAATGCTATTTTGTAAACTATAAAATATTCCTCAAAGACAAAGCGATACTATGATGAAGTAATTATATCAGTATTAATAATAGTAAACCATGCCGTTATTTCATAAGTCAAAAGACTGTATATGAGCTTTTCCATTACAAGATGATACTGTGATGCACTACTTTTAAAATCTAAAACCCTGTGTATCCTCGCTTATGTCTATTTTGAGAAGTGAGTGAATGTATGTGTTATGTTACATTGCATATTTACTAGAAGAACTGATGATGATTCTGAATTGGTGACAAGGCTTAGTAGAAGCAAAAGAAATGTATTGGTAACTAACTTGTGACTGCATGTAGCCGGAGGTGTGTGACTGGAAAGCAGCCTTATCCTTCAGCCTATGTTACCTCGCAGATGGCTGTGAGGTGCTGGGCGGAAAACATCTAGCTTTGTGAAGATTGCTTCTCCACAGGTCCCTCCACTGGTGCCTCCATCCACAGATACATTTAGCTTTGGCAAAGCTCCCTGCAGGTGGTCGATTTATTTGCTGCTTCTTAAATTGCTATGGGCTCGCACTGTCACCTAGCTTAAGTGATGGGTTACAAACGGTAAGGTCCTCACTCTGGTGAAGGTTTGGGGATCCTAGATTTCCGCTGCCTTGCCCCTTTACTTTAGGTTACTTTTTGAGTATCTATCGGAGTGGTTCTTTCTGCTAAAGGAGAGATTGAGAAGCTCACCTGGACTAAGCTGTGACTCCGTTGCAGGCCAGCCCTTTGTGAATCCCGATGGAACTCCTGCAATATACAACCCACCCACCAGTCAACAGCCCCTGCGAAGCGCCATGGTGGGGCAGTCCCAGCAGCAGCCGCCACAGCAGCAGCCGTCCCCGCAGCCCCAGCAGCAGGTCCAGCCACCGCAGCCACAGATGGCAGGCCCTCTGGTCACTCAGGTAAGGGGCTGGTTGGAAGGCTGGGAAGGGAAGTACCCTGAGGTGAAGGCTGCCTAGTCCTCAGAGCAGCAGAGAATCAGGGAGAAGCATATATTTTCCACTCAAGCCTCATAAATAAAATCTGGCAGCAGATAGTTCTTTGCAGATCGACAGGATTTTATCTGGATTCTTAAGTTTAAATAGAGGTGAGTGCCCCATCCAGTAACTTGCAAGTTGAAGGTATGAAAGTAGGGAGAACAAAGGATATTTTTATTTGGTCTAAATGTCATTTTTTTTTAATGTATTGAGGATCCTACATCAGAGACTGAACCCTAGGTCTTTGTGTCATCTCCCTCCCTCAGTCCTGTCACAGATCAAATGCTCATGTTTGCCAAGAGTCAGGACTGAATTCTTCATCAATGGGAAGAACGGAAATTAGTCAATTCCAAGGAGGACTGGCTGTTCCTACATACTCCCCTTAGAGAGACACATTGCCACCCTCCTTTGCTGGAAAGACACATAGACGTGTCAACAGAAACCTGTAGGCTGTCAGAGTGAAACGCTTTCTAAATTTTTGATATTACTTCTTTGTTTTGGGACAGTATTTTCAGACCCAGAGGATGTAACCAACAATATCAAATGTACATCAATAACTTCTTTAAAAAAATCACCTAAGTGCAAATGGGCTTCTCTCAACGATGTCTGGCTCTGTTCTTTCAGAGCCTGGACTTTTCCTTGGTGGCAAATTCTCCTCTCTGGAGTGCACTGAACCTAGAGAGCCTATGAAGGACAGAGGCGTGCTTCTTGTCAGATTTCAACCCCAGTGCTTTTCTGTTACCTGATCAATTTTTTTCTCTCCTCCTGTCTGTCCAGGGGCTGCAGGCTTCCTCCCAGTCAGTGCAATATCCAGCAGTCTCTTTTCCTCCCCAGCACCTCCTGCCTGTGTCCCCAACGCAGCACTTTCCCATGGTACTGTATTATGTGTATATTACTTTTTCCCCTAGGACAGCATATTCACTGATTTTACTACTTTTCTGCACTGGCTGACACTGGGTGGGTGTAATGGGCTGACTGTGAGGGAGAACATGTGAATGCCTCATTTCTAACCTTACAGCCCAGCTCTGCAAAACAACGGTTTCCTTTCTGTCTTCTGTCTGTCCCATGCTGAGTGCTTCTGTGCTCTGGTACCCTTTTAAGAGTATACCAGCTAAGCAGGAAGTGAATGCTTTCAGAGTTAGAAATCAGGAGCAGAGCCAGGTGCGGTGGCTCACGCCTATAATCCCAGCACTTTGGGAGGCTGAGGCGGGTGGATCACGAGGTCCAGAGATAGAGACCAATCTGGTCAACATGGTGAAACCCCGTCTCTACTAAAAATACAAAAAAATAGCTGGGCATGGTGGCATCTGCCTGTAATCCCAGCTACTCAGGAGGCTGAGGCAGGAGAATTGCTTGAACCCAGGAGGCAGAGGTTGCGGTGAGCCGAGATCACGCCATTGCACTCCAGCCTGGGTAACAAGAGCAAAACTTGAGAAAGAAAGAAATCAGGAGCAGAGAGATACAGGAATTTGGCATAAGGGTTTGAGGAAGATCTCAAAGATGGTGTTGGGATGAGAACCATTATCACTCTGTGCTCCTGATGTAGGTGTCCCCAGGATTCCAATCTCCCAATTTTCTTTCATCTTTTCCCCCCCTCAAGCCACTAGGTCATTTTGAGCAACAGCTTAAAGAATGAACATTGTGGCTGGGCGCAGTGGCTCACGCCTGTAATCTCAGCACTTTGGGAGGCTGAGTTGGGCGGATCAGAAGTCAAGAGATCAAGACCATCGTGCCCAACACGGTGAAATCCCACCTGTACTAAAAATACAAAAATTAGCTGGGTGTGGTAGTGTGCACCTGTAGTCCCAGCTACTTAGGAGGCTGAGGCAGAAGAGTCGCCTTAATCTAGGAAGTGGGGTTTGCAGTGAGCCAAGATCATGCCACTGCACTCCAGCCTGACAACAGAGCGAGACTCCATCTTGGGGAAAAGAAAGAAAGAAAGAAGAAAAGAAAGAGAGAGAGAGAGAAAGAATAAAGAAAAAAGAAACAGAAAAAAAGAAAAGAAAGAAAGAAAGAGAGAGAGAGAAAGAAAGAAAGGAAGAAAGAAAGAACAAGAAGGAAGGAAGAACCTGAAGGAAGGAAGGAAGGAAGGAAGAAAGGAAGGAAGGAAGGAAGGCAAGCTCCTAAATTTCAGATCAGGCCAGTGAACAAATACTCCCTAATATAGGAATATAATCCCACTCAGCCCATTGGTGATACAGGTCCTGGCTCCATCTTTGCAGCAGCACTAGGGGTGATGAGTATGAGTGGTTCTGCCTTATGGATGCTCTCCAGAGGCAGATTCTGTGGTTGCTGCTGGGAAGACAGGCTGACCCTTCAGGACAGAATATCAAGCCTTCCTTGTATGCAATGTCATCCTAAGGAGCCTGTGCTTTCAGTGGAAAAAATAAGAATTTGTTTCCATTGAAAGAGAAAGATTTGGATCAAAATTTTTGCCATCTCTGACCCTTGGGATGATTAATTGTTCTCTTGTTATGTTCTGGCTGAAGAATTATTTTATCTTATTTTATTTTTTCCAAATTGTACTTCCCTTCTCTCCTGCAACTCCAAACATGTGCCCTGTGTCTTCCTCTCTCGTTACCAAGCTGATCCCACAAATTCCTGCATTTATTTCCATGACTTGCAGAGAGATGATGTGGCAACACAGTTTGGCCAGATGACCTTGAGCCGGCAGTCCTCGGGGGAGACTCCTGAACCGTCATCAGGTCCTGTCTACCCGTCCTCCCTTATGCCACAGCCAGCCCAGCAGCCAAGCTTTGTTATCGCCTCTACAGGCCAGCAGCTTCCTACAGGAGGATTCTCAGGCTCTGGCCCTCCAATCTCCCAGCAGGTCCTCCAGCCCCCTCCCTCACCACAGGGATTTGTGCAACAGCCTCCACCTGTACAGGTAGGTGTGTTTCCTCATGCCTGTGCCCTACAGCTGATTTTTGATGCATTTTGACCTTTATCTTTCTATGTAGAATGTAACCAGATTCAATCCCTTTCTCATCTGTATTAATACTCCTCACCAGCAGGAAGCAGTGCATTTTTCCACTCATCAGTTGTTCAAAATTGATGGGTTCAGAAAGTGATTTGATTGAAACTGATCCAACTGCCCATGGAAACAACAGGGGAATATCCCATTTTCCAGGCTGCTGGCACAGAGACCGTAAGAAAGCATTCTCTGCCATGCGATATTCTGCTCAGGGGATTGCACAGAAAGGAAATGCCTTGGAAAAGGGAAAGGTCCAGACCTAGGGGACCTTCAACACTCTCTTGCTGCTACTCCAAAAATGTGTTCTTTCCTTTCTTATCAATTCATAAGCATTTTCTGGAGCTAATCCGGTGCTTCAGGCAGGAGCTCCTCTATGAATATAAAGGAGGAGGGTAAGCTGATATCCACAGTCCTTTTCTTTCCCTAAGGGAAAGCAGAGCTCATGCGTCTCTCACAGGTAGCCATTAATCATATTTAATTGACTTGAGCATGTAAGACACCACAGATCACTGATTTTTACTGTCTTCTGGAAGACTGATTATGTGTTACTGTTCACCACCAAACATCTCTGGTGCTCTCTTGGGTATCCCTTGCAGAATATTGGAAGTGATTACTGTCAAGATATAAAATGCACAGAGGCATTTTCTGGTCCATTTTCAAGTCACACAGATCCCAAGAAAATTCCATCCTAATTATGAAGTATTGCATTGGATGAGCTGTTCAAAGTGCAGTGTCACCTTTGTATCATTTGTTTCACTGCCTTAACATCTTGAATAAATTATTTTCTTTTCAAGCCACACAAAACCCTCTACCATGAAATAATTGTCACTAAATTGTTCATTTTATTTTGAGTGATTAATTAATAGTTCATCTTCAGTTGCCTTCTCTGTAATATCTCTTCACAAGTAGGATTTTAAAAGATGTGTAAAATAAGTTTAAGTTATAGGAGAAAGGGATTCATTAATATAGTAATAATTTTACCAATAAATTAAATACCTCAAGCTTAATTATTAGGAAAAATAATTTAGCTTTTTTGGCCTAAAAAGCACTTAAGTGTCCTTGCTAATTTCTGCAGACAAACAAAATAGCTAGCAGGATGTTTAATTAAATTTAAAAGGAAAAAAACATAAAATAAAAATTAGCCAGGTTTGGTAGCGCACACCTGTAATGCTAGCAATTTGGAAAGCTGAGGCAAAAGGTGTACTTGAGCCTGGGAGTTCAAGACCAGCCTGGACAATACAGGGAGACGTCATCTCTGCAAAAAAATAAAAAATATATATAACTAGGTGTGGTGGCATATACTTGTGGTTACACCTATTTGGGAGGCTGAGGTGGGAGAATCGCTTGAGCCTGGGATGTCAAGGCTACAGTGAGCCATGACGATACCACTACACCCTAGCCCAGGAAACAAGGCAAGACCCTGTCTCAGAAAATGAAATAAATAAATCAATATTTAAAAATGAAAATCTTTCTTCACTGAAGAGATTTTAATACTAATCAGCTGCAGAAGCAAAAACAATTCATAACCCCTGTTGTGTCTGTGACAGAAACACTTTCATTCCTTGTTCAGTAGGTTTAAGATAGAGAGGGAGGGAGGTATCTGTGGTTCATGATCAGTCTAGACAGATATGAGCTTCTTTTTGAAGAATCACAGATAAAGCTATAGGCTACAGCCCACAGTAACTTTTAATTTAGTAAATATTTGAAAATCTGATCACCCAACTATGAAACAATGAAAATAACTTAGTTTAGACTCAGCCTACAACCATATGTGGAAATCTGTTAAATTTCTGCAGAAAATGAATCTGTATAATAAATGTGAAGGTCTATTTCATCTGACTCATCATGTGTGCTTTCTAAATGCCCACTGGAAAGGTGAAGTGGGAAACACATGGGTGAGGCAAAGAGGATTTAAAGGAGGGACATGGGAGAAGTGTGAAGGTTTTATAGTTTCTTCTTTCTTTTCCCTCCTAATCCACTCATTTTTAGATTCTCCATATTTTAACGTGATTGATTGAACATATACATTTTCTCCCTTTTGGGCCATCCTTACTCCTTTCTCCCTTTACCTCTCTCCTTTTAAACCTTTCATGCTGATCTTTTAAAAGATTGCTGTTAACCTGGCTTCCTTTCCATCCTCCTTGGTTGTGGATGAGGATAGACCAAGAGCTCATTTTCTTCATCTGGTTGGGGATCATAGCTCCCAAGAGCTGACCAAAGTGCCACCTTGGAGTGGTGCTGGATACAATTAGCCACATCTCTAGCACAGCTTGCAAAGGTATCACAGAAGCTATGTCTGGGGAAAAGAACAAAAACAAAACAAACAACAAAATTGAATTAATAAAAAATCTTTTTTACATGCAGTTGTACTTTTATCCTAACCGTCAGCGCTCATTAGAATGTTTGTAACTATGAATTCTTTTGTTCCTGAGCATATTTTATGTTTTATATTGAACATGGGAGGGAGATCCAGGAATAGATACTACATTCATGAGCTTACATTTAATCAAGACACAGTCTTTTCTAAAGGAACAAAATGTTATTTCCTAAAAGACATGTAAATATAAATGCTGACAAATAAATTAGATAATAGTTGTTCTTATTTTTACTATTGGGAGGCATCTGATGTTTAATGGTAGTCATCTTTAATAGCACCACAATTTGCCAGAGTATAGCTAAATGCTATTATTAGTCCAGAATTATTTGTTGTTTTTTTTATTGTTATAAACTGCCTGACAAAATAAGAGAAAAGAAGTAAGCTCAAATCACTATGAATAAAGTATGGAATCAATTAGTTGCCAGATATTGACCCAAGATTGCTTTAGACTCATTCAGCCTCTTGCCCTTGAATATCCATATATTATATAACCACAGCTATAATTCACCATGATTCCATGAAATTGCAGAGTTACAGGAGTTACAGATTCACACAGATTGTTATATTTTGTTCCCACTTTATCCTCAGGCAGTAAAATATGTTACATATGTTTCAATAGCAACATTGAAATACAAGAGTGCTTCTTATGTGACCTGAGCAAATCAGAAAACAAAATAACCATGAAAATCACAGTTCTCAAATAATTGGCTTGTAATGTTATTCTGTGTATCTAATGTTTGTAGGCTGTCTGCTTGGGTACCTCAGTTGTCATTTTAGAGAATATAATAGGAGAAAACTCAGACGCCTGAAGAGGGAAAATCATTAACTAAGATTAGTAAGAAAGTGGCCTTCGTATAAATGACCTGAGGTAGTCGAAGTCTAACAGATCAGGGAACATTTGATTTGGATCATAATCAAGTAGTCAGAATACTTTGATTCGTTCTCATTCATAAGAAAGTTAAGAAGGTAGCATAAACAGGATTTAAACAATCTTATTTCCCTTTTTAGATTGGACATAAATTTTTCTGAATAGTGGTATGTCCCAATCATTCTGCAATGTGCTTTAATAGACTACTGTATTTTGTAATTGCATTATCTGCTCCTTTTAGGCTAGAGATCAGCAGTTTTCATGTCTCACCTCTGTTTCCATTAGAAAAGCAATTCAAGTTATATATAATATTTAAAATGTAGGTTTTTATTGTTGGTGGTAACTGTTTTACTCTCTCTTGTTTCATCTAAAAACCACAAAAGGCTTGTTTTAAAATGACCATTTTGTGATCATGACTAGGTCAGGAGTTGAGCAGGATTTATCGCAGATGGCTCACCTCTCCTCCATGTGGCTAGGGTAGCTTGCCTGGTGCTACCCTCACATGCCTGGAACTTGAGGGTAACCAGTCAATTGGAGGTACCTGTTCCACACATGGCCTCTGCAGCAGAATGGTCTGGACTTTGTCTCTCGGCTGGCTTCCCCGCCTACAGGCGTGGAAGCGGCAAGTCTTCTTTAGGATCAGGCTTGACAGTTTCAGACATCATTTCTGCCTCATGGCATTGGTCAAAGAAAGTCACAGAACCAGATCAGATTGAAGGTTTGGGGAGTGGATTTTGCCTCTTCATGGGAGAAGTAGCATGCCCATACACATAGGCATGGGAGAAGTTTGTGGTGGCCATCTTCACAACCTACCACAATTACAAGATGAAAACATAACTTATGTTTAAAAATTTACATGACCGTTCTCATTCTCTGCTTTCTTCCCCCTTTCTTCCACAGATGCCTGTCTATTATTATCCATCTGGTCAGTACCCTACCTCAACCACACAACAGTACCGGCCCATGGCCTCAGTTCAGTACAATACCCAGAGGAGTCAGCAGATGCCACAGGCAGCACAGCAAGCAGGTACTTGGAATTTGTTTCCCATTTTCTTACCAACCCAGTTATTTTTGCTGGTGAATCTTGTACTCTTTGGATGAGTGTTCAAGCCTGGCAATTTAAATCAGCACATTTCCTCTCCCCAGAGAAGATAACAAAGCTTTGATTGACTCTGTGTGGAAAAGTAGTAGGTACAAGAAGGTGAAGCATACGTCAGACTAGCATCCCTGGCATGCATGCTAAACAGTCTACGTGAATTATTTTTTGATCCTTCTTTCGTTAAAGCAGAAAGTCAACCTCGTTCTTCCCTTTCCAGTTCAGATCTTCTTTTTTTTTTTTTTTTTTTCGTTTTCAATTTGAAGAGAGTGATTTCCCCTGTTCTTAAGGCTAGGGAACCAAATTAGGTTGTTTTAATACCGTGCTAAAAGATACTGCCTTTAGAAGAAGGCTACTGAGAATGCGGCGTGTCTCGATGGAACTGTGACTCCATGGTTCACTTTCATGATGGCCACATGCCTCCTCCTGCCCAGAGCCCGGCAGCCACTGTGCAGTGGGAAGGGGGGCCGATACACTGTACGAGAGTGAGTAGCAGGTCTCACAGTGAACCGGTCTCTTTCCCTACTGTGTCACACTCCTAATGGAATGCCGTTGCCCAGAGAGCAGCAGGAACCCGACAGGGCTGAGTGACTTGTGCTAGGGACAGGTTTGTGTCATTCCTGCTGGCCAAACTGTGGGAAAAACTGCTAATTGTCATGCTGAAGACTGCCTGACGGGGAGACTCTGCCTTCTGTAAGTAGGTCATGTAAAGAGCATGTGCTCCTTGCTGCTGCTCATAGATGCCTGCTTCATGATCTGATTTCTACACTGAATCTATGTTATGCATACGTCATGTGTACAGATACATGTATGTAATATATATACAATATGTACCGTTTTTATAAGCTCTGAAAAAAAAGTGCAGTTCTTGCCAACGATCAGCACCAATCATAGACGCCCTAAGAATGCTAATGCTGACACTACCAGCATCCTGTCAGATTGCAGAAAAAATTAAATTCCTCCGTTTGTGGATGGCTACATGTTCTTTGGTTTATCTCATGGCCTATTTAAAGTCTGTGGGAGAAGAATTAGAGAAACCTATATCCTCCAGCCAGATTTTGTCTTGTTTCGGCACTGTGTTAGTTTGGGGAAGAATATGTTTGACCTCTGAATTGACTTCAGACTTTTACAGTAGACTTTTACAGTGTTCTAAGAACAGTAAAGGGTTTCAAATAACTAGCTATTTTAAGAAAATAACTTGGCAATATTTTCTCTGACTTGTGGAAAATGTTATTATCTTTACCATTTTGGTGGTGACTGTGCTATCAGTTTAGATATATGCTATAGCAATGTATTGCATTCTGCACTATCTTATTTTATGCTAATGTTGATTAAAAGATTAATTTATAATCTTGAGGATCTTGGTTTAGAGGTTATGGGGAAGTTTTCCTCTTGGTTACCAATGGCTTTAGAAGAAGAAAGATGCAGCTATCTAATTGCAATGATTTTTTATTAGGTTTGGCACCCTTGTGTGACAATTTTAAAAGAGATTATTTCAGTCTTGTGTAGAGTGTCATCACAGAAAGAAATGAAGTTACAAAACATGCCGGAATCCACTAAACCTATAAACTCTAGATCTATGTGAGGGGATGAGAAAGTTAGATGAATATGCTAACTGGGCAACAGAATTAGATTTCAAAAAAGTCTAGGCCTCCCCCACTGACTTCTACATTGCTTTTTCTCCTCTTCACTAACTTCATTGGTAGATGTCAAAACAAGAGACAGTATGTGAGACAGTTTTTACTGTTTCATAAAACACAATGAGAGAACAGGGATGTGGAAACACCATTCCCCATCCAGTTAGAGAGACCTAACTGGCTCCAACCACATTCCATGGCAACCTGGTGGCTTTTGTTTGTCACATGTTCCCACATGACCACAAAAATGACCCTCCCAAGGCAAGATTAATAACACTGTAATGAGAAGCGTGCACTCTAGAGCAGCATCAAGCTCAATATAGAAGCAAGGCAGTGCCTAGGGTGTCAAGGAAGTGGGTGTCAGTTAATGCAGCCTGTACAGGGTGAGGAGGTAAGAACAGTGAAATGATCATGAACAATATTGTCCCCAGAAGTGATGGCATTAGTGTACACAGGCACACTGAGACCTTTGAGCTCTCAGTTTTTGTGACCACCACACTAGACACCTGGCCTAAAATCCTAACACAGTTTCCACCACAGTGCTGAATGTATCCAGTATCTGGGGAAGCAGATGGTGTTCCCTGACCTCACAGAGAATCACTTCTGCTAATAAAATCCAAGTAACCCAGCCCACATAATGGCTCTTTGAGAGTCCGTAGAGGCTCTGGGTCCTACAACTGGGTGGTGTTTTGTTAAGCCTAGTGAGACTAAGAGAAACTTTCCAAATGGACACGGCAGTCATTTATGAGAGCAACTCTCTGTTGATGGACTATCTTATAGAAGAAAGAGCCTCTTTAGATCATTATGGAAGTTATATTTTCTGGAGTAACTAGAAGATACGACTTCTCTATCTTTAAGTCAAACTATGGGCTACTGTCAGCCTGTCACCCTCTCACAGTGATGTTTTGACTTGTTCTTCCTCCTGCCTCCTGCAGTCGGGTGTCTTAAGATCTGACCCTCTTCCATCTTCATTGGATACTGACACCAGATTGTGTCATAGCATCCTCAGCTGTCATGCAGTTAAATATTAGAGTGGGACAGAATTATGTCAGTTAAAGCCAAATGAGATTTTAATCTGAATTTACTTCTTGGCACTGTTCTTAATCTCTATTTAATTGCAGTAAAACGCATCTCTTCCTTTTCCTATACTCCTGCCAGAATTGAAATCTCTGTCAGTTATTCCATATTTTCTAGGACTCAAAACTCTACATAGTTAATTTTTATAAGGTGAACTGGACACTCTATTAGTGATTAAACAGGACACCTGTGTTTCCCTGAGGCCCAGTAGGGAGACATAAGTTATTTATTCGGGTGATTTTGTACTCTTTATCCAATCAGCATATAGTAAAAGGCCCTAAGTATGTAGAAGAGAAAGCCTATGTGGGCGGTGATTATAAATAAAGAACACTAATGTTGGGGCAGAGTGCAGTGGCTAGCACATGTAATCCCAGTACTTTGGAAGGCCTAGGAAGGTGGATCACCTGAGGTCATGAGTTCGAGACCAGCCTCATCAACAGGGTGAAACCCTGTCTCTACTAAAAAAACACACAAAAATTAGCCGGGCATGGTGGCTGGTGCCTGTAATCCCAGCTACTCAATTCCATTCAAGAGACTTGCTTGAACCTGGGAGACGGAGGTTGCACTAATCCAAGATGGCACCATTGCATTCCAGCCTGAAAGACAGAGCAAGACTCTGTCTCAAAAAACAAAACAAAACACTAATGTTGAGAACATGTGGAGAAATCAAATGGCAGAGCTGCAAAATGATATTTGGAATTTGTAGCTACATTTGTGAGAAAAATAAAAGCCTTCAATTTACAAATATCTCCAACAGAAGAATTTGTTTATTGCCAATCTGACATTATCAGGTACCTCTGATAGTGGGGAGACAGTTTTCTTTCTGAGCAAATTATTGATAACCCAAGTCTATGTAGAAGAGCAGTTATCAGGATAGGTGCACTACCTCGTGCCTATAATCCCAGCACTTTGGGAGGCTGAAGTGGGAAGATTTCTTGATCCCAGGAGCTCAGACCAGCCTCAGCAACATGATAAGACCCTATCTCTACAGAAAATAAAAAATTAGCCAGGCATGGTGGTGCTTGCCAGCAGTCCCAGCAATTTGGAGGAATAAAAAAAAACACGAGGCTAAAGAACTTAGGTCTCCCTACTGTGCCTTAGGGGAACTCAGGTGTCCTATTTAATCAGTAGTAGAGTGTCCAGTTCACCTTATAAAAATTGTGTAGAATTTTAAGTCGTGATGTGTGGGGATTGCTTGAACCTGGGAGTTTGAGACCTCAGTGAGCCATAATCATGCCATTGCACTCCAGCCTAGGTGACAGAGCAAGGCAAGAGAAAGAGAAAGAAGAAAGAAGGAAGGAAGGTAGGAAGGAAGGGAGGGAGGGAGGAAGGAAGGAAGGAAGGAAGGAAGGAAGGAAGGAAGGAAGAAAGAAAGAAGAAGAAAGGAAGGGAGAGAAAGAGAAAGAAAAAGAAAGGAGAGAAAGAAAGAAGAAGGGAAGGAAGGGGAAGGAAGAGAGAGAGAGAAAGAAGAAGGAAGGAAGGGAGAGAAAGAAAAAAGAAAGAGAAAGGAAGAAAGAAAAGAAAGAAAGAAGAAAGAAGAAAGAAAGAAAGAGAAAGAAAGAAAGAAAGAAAGAAAGAAAGAAAGAAAGAAAGAAAGAAAGAAAGGAAGGAAGGAAGGAAGGAAGGAAGGAAGGAAGGAAGGAAGGAAGGAAGGAAGGAAGGAAGGAAAGAAAGAAAGAAAAGAAAAGAAAGTTATTACGTTATGGCTTGTTTGTAAAAAGACTGTAGTTTTAAAATCTTTCTATGTTTGAAAGACTTAGAAGTGAAAACATCTTGACTCAGAACAGTTTTTCAGTGTTCAGATATTGAAAGGAAGTGCTCATAAACATTCATTCCTTAATGTTTTAAGTTTATTTTAGTAGTTAGTTATCATGCCATTTTTAGTTAGTACCTGTGTTGCTGTAGTTTTATTCTTGTTGAAAAACATATTGAAGGCCACAAAAATATCAGCAATCATTACATCTGCCATTGATTTGGGATCTCTTATGGGCTAGTTTAATCACTACTACAAGTTTACAAGGGAAATATTGTGTTCCTTCTTTGCAAATAGGTGAAACTATTGCTCAGGGAGGCAAAGTAAGTTATGTTGAGTCTCAAGGTTGACTGTGTTGGGGAAAAGCACCCAGGCAAGACTGGTATTGTGCCCATGTGTTAAGCATTTTATTGGAACAACTTAAACACAGTTAGTAGTTTTGCCTTTATATGCTAACATGGATG